TCCAAAGTTAATGACACTTAGTCCTTAACTTCAAGTTTCATGTGCAAAAGTTAAGGACAATCAGTCCTTAATTTAAATTGTAAGTGCAAAGATTAAGGAAATACAGTCATTAACTTATACTTTCAACATCCAAAGTTAAGGACACTTAGTCCTTAACTTCAATTTTCATGTACAAAAGTTAAGGACAATCAGTCCTTAACTTTGAATTCCAACTACAAAATTTAAAGTCGTTTCTTCCTTACATTTAATGAACACAGTTAACTGAAAATTCATAATCACAGTAAGCTTATGAATTTCTATGACTATTTTTATGAAATATACCTACATAATCAAATATATTGGATCAACCACAAACACATTTCAAATTTCACACACTAAAAATTTATCAAAAACAGAATCACACAAAATATACTACACTGAATCAACATATAATGCTAATTTTTTGAAATTTCACACATACTTCACACGGCATTGAACCAACTTACACATAAAGAAAAACGAAAATGCATAAAAAAAAACATATTACCAGTCGCGATTGACAGAAGATGACGGAGAAGATGAAGGAGTAGAAGTTTAACTGAGATTGCAGTTTCCATGCGAGGAAAATGAAGAAGCGCAGAACACGGAAATAGAGGGTTAACCGCTCTCGTCTGAACTCTGAACGAATGAAAATAAGGGTTTTCGTCGATTTTGGGATTATACAAGAAATAGAGAAAGGGTAATTGTGTCTTTTCCCCCTTAGTAGTGGCTATTTTTTATAAGCATTTTAAATAGTGGATAAAAATTAAATACACCCTTATTTAGTGGCTACTACACGCCATTTTTACCAGTGGTTACTATGATTTCTATTACTATGAGATATTAATGAGCTTGAGTGTTGAGAGCGAGTATTGAGTGACGAGAGTTGAGTCATGAGTGACTGAGAGGCCATTTTCTGAGTGATACCTTGACCGAGGGGCCCAGTTATAATATTTTTACTGATTTCACTCTTCTTTTAAAATAAGCTTCTGTTGAAAAAATTGCTAAGTATACGATTTCAAGTGTTTAAACTGAAATTTGATGATTTTACGACGAAACTGGTTTTAAACTGTGAAGTTGACCTGTTATCCTGTTGTTTTCTTCAGTTATATGATTTTTAATTGTTCGTCACTACTTTCCGACCTTATTTACTTTAGTTACTTGCCGAGTTGGCGTACTCATGTTACTCCATGCACCTTGTGTGCAGATCTAGGTGCCTGAGCAGCAGAGTAAGGGTCTTCCGCATTTTCAGAGTTTTTCGGAGACTGCAAGGTAGCTGCTTGGCATCCGTAGCCCTGCTTTCTTCCTCTTATCCTTGTTTTCCCGTATTTTAGACTTGTTATGTATTAGACAATCAGATTTGTATATTTAGAGGCTCTAGACTCGTGACACCAGATTATGGGGTTGTGTAGTTTCCTGTATTTGACTTCCGCATATTTCCTGTTACTTTAAACATTTATAATGAAATTGGGTATTTAAAAACTATGTTAAAAAATTGCTTATTGTTAAAGGAAAAAGGGTTGTGATTCATCGATTGGTTGGCTTGCCTAGTAATGTGATATGCGCCATCACGACTGGTATTTGGGGTCGTGATAGGCAGTGATTGTGATGATGGGATTTTAAATAGAGAGGCTTAATTAATGACCAACAACAGCTTTTTGTAGTCAGATAGAAGTCGACTCAACCTGAAACTTCGGGTTGAATAAGCGGTTAAGCTTCCCTAGATTCTAGGCATTTTATGTGGTGAGGATTCTATGAGAGACGAAACTGGTTCAAACTTTAGAGGGATAGGTTTTTGTGATGATTTTGAACATGGGTAGGACTCTGCTCATGAATTAAATATCAATATTTCTAATTGTGCAGAGTGTAGAAAACATACCTCGTTATTTTCTCTTGACAGCAATCAAGTGGGATTCCTTTGAATTTTCTTGAAATCGAGCACAAAGCCATACACTGAAAACAATGTCAGATCTGTTAGCAGTAAGATACAAAAGTGAACCAATCATACCCCTATGCAACTTCTGATCAACAGATGAGTCAAGTTCATCTATGTCTAATTTTGTGGTTATTGCAATAGGAGTGTCTATTTCTTTTGATTCTTCTATTTTAAACTTCTTAATCAACTCTTTTGCATATTTCTGCTGATGGATCATGGTTCTATTTGAGTTTTATTTAATTTGCAAGCCTAAGAAGAAATTAAGCTTACCCATCATACTCATTTCAAATTTACTCCCCATAAGTTTTGCAAATTCCTTACTTAATTTTTCAGTTGTTTCCCCAAAAATTATCTTATTGACATATATTTGTACTACAAGAAGGTCCTTACCTTTTTTCTCTTAAAAATATAGTGCTGTCAATTTTACCTCTCTTGTAGCCATGTTCAAGCAGGAATTTGGACAGTCGTTCATACCATGCTCTAGGAGCCTGTTTGAGTCCATAGAGAGCCTTGTCTAATTTGTATACGTGTTTAAGACACTCCTTGCTCTCAAACCCTGGAGGTTGTTTGACAAACACTTATTCCTTTAGGTAGTCATTTAGGAAAGCACTTTTGACATTCATCTGATGAAGATTAAATTTCATGTGTGCTACAAAAGCTATGAGGAGTCTTATTGCTTCCAATCTTGAAACTGGAGCAAAGGTCTCATCATAGTCTATGCCTTCCTCCTGGCTGTAACCTTGAACCACTAACCATGCCTTATTCCTTGTAACAGTTCTATCTTCATCAAGTTTGTTCTGAAGACCCATTTAGTGACAATTACTGATCTGTCCTTGGGACTTGGAACCAGATGCCAAACTTGACTTCTTTCAAATTGATTGAGTTCATCTTGCATTGCATTCACCTAGTCTGCATCTTGCAAAGCCTCAGCAACATTTTTAGGTTCAATAAGAGATACGAAAGCATCAAAAGCACACAAATTCTTTAATTGAGATCTAGTTTTAATTTCGGAGGTTGGATACGTAATTATGTTCTCAATGGGATGAGAATTTTGATACTTGTAATGTTTCACAACCAACTGGTTTCCATTTGATGTTTCTCCCATGTTCTGTTATTGAGGAATAGGCTCATGGATAGGTTCCATTTGGGGATTACATTCAGTTCTTCTTTGTTTAGCTCCCCCTATCAGGTTGCCCTGGATGGAAGAACCTGTTCCTTCTTTTGGTGCAGCTTCATTTAAATCTTTTACCAGCCTAATAGCTTCATCTTCATGTTCAAGTCTCTCAGAAAGAATGTTAGTTTCATCAAAACTACATGTACATTTTCTTCTACACACATAGTTCTTTTGTTATATACTTTATAAGCTTTGCTATGTGAAGAATATCCCAAGAATACTCCCTCATCACTTCTGGGATCAAACTTACCTAGGGAGTCCTTTCCATTATTGTGCACAAAGCACTTTCATCCAAATGCCCTAAGATGGGATATATTGGTTTTCTCCCTTTAAGTAACTCATAGGGAGTCTTCTCTACAAGAGGTCCAGTCATGCACCTATTGATGATGTAACATGCAGTATTTATAACCTCTGCCCAGAAGCTATGGGGTAGTTTACTAGAAAGAAGCATAGTCCTAGCCATATCTTCAAGAGTCCTATTCTTTCTTTCAGCTACTCTATTTTGTTGAGGAGTCCTAGGGGCACAAAAATTATGATCTATACCATGCCCATCACAAAATTTAGCAAACTTAGCATTTTCAAATTTAGTTCCATGATCATACCTAATTGATGTAAGTTGATTACCTAGTTGTTTCTGAGTTTTTCTAACAAAGACAGTAAGCATGTCAAATGTTTCATCCTTAGATGTTAAAAACAATGTCCAAGTGAACCTAGAGTAATCATCAACAAGCACCAGCACATATTTCTTACCACCTCTGCTTAATATTCTTATTGGACTACAGAGATCCATATGAACCAGTTCCATCGACTGGTCATGCTTACTACTTTCTTGCTTTTAAAAGAGGATCTTACCTGCTTTCCCCTTGCACAAGCCTCACAAACTTTGTCTTCCTTAAACTTGATGTTAGGAAGCCCTATCATCAGGTCCTTGGAGACTAATTTGTTGAGTTGACTTAGACTTGCATGTCTAAGTTTTTTTTGCCAAAAGAGGGGATCATTGTCCAAAACACTTAGACAAGTGAGTTCATTTTCTGAAAGAGTGGACAGATCTACAATGTATATATTGTTTACTCTTTTTTCCTGTAAAATAATTTTGTCAGTGGTAAGAGTTATCATAAAACATTTGGTAGAGGTGAATGCTACCAAGTTACCTCTGTCACACAGTTGTGATACACTGATTAGACTATATTTCAAGCCATCTATCAAGTAGACATTCTCAATAGAGTGTGATTCTGTCTTACCTACCTTTCCAACCCCAATGATCTCACATTTCTTACCATTTCCAAAGGAGACTGAGGTCCTCAAGTGAAAGGAACTGGTTCTTGCTACCAGTCATATGCTTTGAGCAGCCACTATTCATGTACTATATTGGTTGTTTCCCTTCACTTTGACCTGCAAGAGAAAATCAGAGGTTAGTCTTAGGAACCCAAACTAGTTTGGGTCCCTTTTTATAGGCAAAAGGGTGAATTAAATTCTTTTTAGCCCATCCTGGCAGCCTATTTTTCCCTTGAACAAAGGTTTTGTTCTTCTGACTGGCCTTTTCTTTTGCATTACATTCACTTTTAAAGTAACAAGTCTTTCCATAGTGTGTGCAGATTTTGTTTTCAGGAAGTG